ATCTGTCTGTGTGGCTGTCTATTTGTCTGTATATGTGAGATAATTTATCAAGATAACTTATATATGAAACTTTTCGAAATTTCTATTTTTCGAATTTTAAGCTTTCTTCATGCATATAAAGAAATGATTGGATTTTGGGGGGAACTGAGCAGCTGGAAGTAGTACTTTACAAGAAGCCAATAACAGTCTTTAATAAGCAACCCGAAATGGTACTTTACTTAAGGCCATAACAGTTTTTAACAAAAAATAAACGCAATAAAATATAATCCAAAACTTTTAATTTTAGTATTTAAGATCGTTATATCAAAGGGAACAACACATCAGATTTTGGCTAAAATTGATGATGCTGCATTGATACTTTACACTCGGAAGTATACTTTACGCTATATACATATATGGAAGTGTTACTTAACTTTGAAAGAATTTCGTAAAAAAATATGTTATAAGATAACTAAAAACTTCTTAAATTAAAAAGTATTTAAAATCGGTTTGCGATTGAGAGCAATGTATTACGTTTATAATTGTGTTCTTGGTATTAAGCTAAGCACAGCGAGAACAAACTCATCATGAATAAAAACTCTGGTTATGAAATAATTAAATGTATTAGCCTCAGTCCTCAGTTTTGTCCCCGTTTCACTTTTGTGTCGAATCACTTTTCAAATATAAAGGCGCTACCACCAAATATTATCGCTATGCATTATTTTTAAAGAAATAATACAGCAAGTACAAATAACACAGGGGGGAACATAAAAAGTGTATGGAAACAATTAATACTCTTTTAGGAATTCTAAACATATGCTGATTTTAAAGATTTTGTTGAAGAATTTTTATTTGGCGTATGTGCGAAGAAAGTGATTTTCAATAAATAAAGCTAAAATGACAAAAACAAATTGATCACCTTATTTAGAAAAGTTACTGATATCATAAACTGTAAACAAGATTGACAATGAAACCTGTGGGAATACTTAATACTGTAATCGGGAATTCAAAATCCAAAACACTGTAGGATCAGTGGATCATACCCACGATTGACGTGATATTTTCAAATCAATGTATGTGAACGAATGTGTACACGAACACGTATAGTTATCATTGTCAACTGTATGAGAGAATATAATAATGAAATTGAGTGGTGTTTATAATTAATATTGAGCCAAAAAGTTTTAAAACAAATTAGACTTTATTTTGAAACGATCAACCGGAAGTGATAGTTTCGGTAAAGCTCCTTGTTAGTCTCCCAATTCCATGTTTTAACATGAAACTGGGGTTTTAACACGAAACTGGCGATAGATTATGTGCAGGCCACATCAGATATTTTTCCTTTTATTTCTTATCAAGGTTCATACATGCGTACAGAAAAAGAGATTTATGGTTACCTATATAAGCATAAAAACGTATTTGATAATGCGCGTTTCCCACATTCAGAGTCAGTTCAAAGTACATAAAATACTAAGACGTAGTAATAGTGATAATAATCTGTGAATGCGTAATCTGCGAAAGGTGTTATCTGTGACAGTTATTTGTGAATGTATTACGACAGTAATAATAAGATCTGTGAATGCGTTTCCTAAAATGAAATCTTGCCTTAAACGAAACCAGTTTGAATGCTTTAAATGAGGCATTCGAAACGGTTCCCTTTGAATGACCTTAGCAGAAATATTTCAGAAATTCGGGAATAGCAACAGTGTTCCAAGAGTTGATTTCTACAAAGGATCTAGAAACTTTGGGAAACGTCAAAAGACTTACCGCGTCAGAAGCCATTGTATATAGATAAAAAGAGAGAATAAAAATACTTTCTTCATTTTTTTTGTAATTGCAGTTCTAATATTTTCTCAACACACTTTGTAATTAGTATTTCCATGTTTCTAAAAACTATGTAATAGAAATATTTCCATAGTCTTGGCTAAAAAAGTAATGCTTATAATACAAAAAAGTGTTTCGTTTCAACCACTACGTATATCAAGTTTTAAACGCATGTTTAATAGTGTATGTATTTTTAATAGTGTACTAAGCATACCATTTTCGCAAGAGTTCTTGATTTCCGTTTAATTTGATTGTAAGGCATTTATGAAATTACATGGGTTTTTATTACTATCAGTGTTACATCATCACTTTCTGATATTGTGCTATGTTATCATGTCATCAGAAAGAGTGCTATGTAACACCGATACCTCAGATCAATGGTATCAAACTCAAATTGCATGTGAGCGGAATGTACGATCTGAAAACAGCTAATGGGAATTTTTTTTGTAACGAAATAAAAAATGTTATTAACCAAATAAAGGTATTTTAAACATTTTTTAAATTTCTCTTAATTTTTTTTATCAAAGCATACATAAATAATAATAATAATATCGCAAAATAAACAAATTCAAATTTATGTTTATTTTCTGTCTGAAATCTTAAGTTTGATACTTGCAAGACATTTCTCTTGCTTACACCTTGTAATTCAATTACTATAACGATAAGTAAATATTAAATTTTTAAACTGACATTTCTTTCAAATAATTCTAACCTGTTTAATTAGTGATTAAACAACTTCATTTAAAATTAAAATTAAAAAAAAATCTTTCATTTAAAATTAAAAGAAACAAATTCTGAAACAACTTTCAAAGAAACTTTGTCAAGTCGGGCGAAACATGGAAATAAATAATAACAACTTAGTGTCTTTCTCTTATTTATTAATTTTTTTCGACGCATAACTGAAAATACGCATGTTTAAGCAATAAAGTGACCGGAAGTCAGAATACGCTCTATTAGGCTCTTCTAGTGAAGTGACCTAGACTTCAACTTAAATACTTGTTTCTACCTCATTTACATAAAACGTAATCCTAAAACTTATTCTGGTTGGAAATCATAGGTGAGAAACAAGAAAGTAAAGAAAAGGCTCGTATCATAATAAAAATAACTATTAAAATATAAAATAAACCCTTAAATTTAATTCTGCGCTTTTTATTTTCCTCAACAGATGTGCTTTTTATGCTTTTTATGTCCCTCAGTTGTTCGTTCTAATTTCATGATGAATGGTATTTTATGGTACTTCCCACAACTTTCTTTTTCATCTGACGTCTTTTCTGCTAAAAATTTTATCTCCTTCTTTTATTAGTTTTCAAAAGGAAATATTCAGTATACTGCTATGGTATGTGCGTGAAAAGACTGCAGTATGTTTGTGAAAAATATGGATTTTTGTGCACATAAAACTTAAACAAATATTGCTTCTAATTTCGGAAAGGTTTCTAAGGTTTCTTACTTTTAAAAGATTTTGCTTTTAGCCTTCGAAACATCAGTAGTCATTGAAAGCAAGAAAAAGAAATATTATATCTAGAAATAAGAGTCATTAAACATCCTTAATAGTTGAGATGTCAAAGAATTGCATAGTTTTATATATAAATCCGTGGTACTCATTCAAGAGCCTACCAGAAAGCAATAATTTGGAATAGCTCCATGAATTGCTTCCTAGTATATAGCTTGAATCTTATAAGAATTTATTGTAGTCATAAGATGTTGACAGTTTTTAGGCTATAAATATAGTAAGTGCATGCAAAGGTAAGAATATTTACTATCACTTGGAAAACTATCACAAACAGTAAAAGAGAATTTTACTAGCAAGCAAGCACTGCATTTCTTTTCTCACGCATAACGCTAGAAAGCACTGGTTAAACACACATCATTTTTCTTCATGCTTTATATGCAAAAAATTACAGATGAAAAACACTATGTTTTTCTTTTTAGAAGTAAACTACTTCAAAACAAATTCACATGTACTCTCATTTGCAAAGATATGGCTCCCACGTTTCCATATGCACCTTTTTGAAGTAAAAACCAGTCAGACAAAATCATCCAAACGTGATATAAGTGGATACATGATATTTACATGAATAAAAAAGAAATTTGTTATGCTCCCACAGAGGTTCTGTGGATAATTAGGTTTTTCGAAGCAAGAAAATTGAAAAATTCACTATGCTGTGGCAGGGGTTCGAACCATTTGCCTTTCACTTGCATGCCGGACGACCTAACCAATTACCATAGAGCATATATAAAACCGAAAGTAGTTAGTATATTGTGCTGGACCACTTCTAGCTTGATGCATATGATTACGCACAGCACAGACGCAAAGCGAAGTCATCGACGTACTGTAGAACAACGTACGCATTGGTCCAACACACTCCAGATAGCATGTTAGGCTTCGGGTGTAAGTACAGTTTATTTGCTAGGTCTACCGGAAAGTTCTGTCCGTTTTTTGAATAAAACAAAACACAAATTTTTCTTACCATCAATAAACTTTACTAAATAATATAATTGTCATTACTATTAATGACTTCTCTCCAGCGTGAGGGCAATTTTTATATTCCATTTTTGAAAAATGTTTCATCTTTTGATGCGAAAAACTGAATAAATGCTAGTTTGATATCTTCTTCATTTTTGAACTTTTTGCCCTTCAAAACATTTTGTAACGACAAAAATAAGTGATAGTCGGAGGGTGCTAAGTCCGGAGAATATGGTGGATGTGACATAATTTCCCAGCCTAGTTCTGCAATTTTTTGACGAGTCCCCAAAGCAGCACGTGGCCTGAGATTATCATGATACAGTATGATGTCCTTCCTGTTGAACATCGTCGGTCTCTTTTTTTGGACTGCTGTCTTTGAATTATCTATGCAGTTGCCGACAATAGAATGGAGCTTTTCGTTCGGTTTTAAAAGCTCATAGTGTATTGGACCTCGAATATCCCAACATATACACAACATTCTCTTATTCAGAGTCAAATTTGGTTTAGAGGTGGAAGGGTTAGGTTTTCTGGGTTCACAATATGCCATTTTCCTTATGATGTTTTCGTAGGTAATCCACTTTTGATCCCCAGTTATCATCCGGTTCAAGAAGGGTTCGATTTTGTTCCGAGCAAGCAAAGATGTGCATATGACCACTCGATCATCCAAATTCTTCTGACTTAATTCGTGTGACATTCATCTTGAATATTTCCACACCAATCCTATCTTCCCAATATGGTTCGAAATGGTTTGCTGAACTGAATTAAGCCTTTCTGCGATCTCTGATGTTGTCAGAAAAGGATCTTGCTCAAACATGATTTTAACAACATCGTCGTCGATCAAAGATGATCTCCCAGAACGTGGCTTATCAGAAAGGTCGAAATCACCTGTTTCGAATTTTTCGAACGGTCTTCTGCATGTTCTATCACAAACTGTACCTTCACCAAACACTTTCAATAAATTTCTATATGCTTCTGTAGCATTTCTTCCTTGTTGAAATTCGTATAAAATACAGTGACGTAAATGATCTTTATCAGTAGCCATTGCTACACTATCGATTCACACTTAAGACTAACGTTAAGCGATAAAAATAGAGAGCCGTACATACGCCAAATAAACATGTGCTTACGCGTCCAAAATTGTTGTCATAGAAACGGACAGAACTTTCTGTATTTTTCCGACTTAGCGTTTTTTACGGTTTGTAGACGTTAAAGTATTACATAAGCTCATAACAATCGTTGAGTTAAATTATGAAACTAATTTATTATAATCTATTCTAAAAATAACAGATAACAGAAAAATGAAAATCTTAATTTAAAAAAAAATCTGAAAGCTTTCAGATTTCACATTCAGCCCAAAGGGGCGTTTCTTTTTAATTCATTTACACATACATTCACGTTTCGAGAGCATTTGGGCTAACAATATTTAAAAACAGCATATCTTTAGAATGTCCAATAGACGGTCTCGCCCGCTGGAGGAAAAAATATTTTATTCCGTACAGTGCGTTGCCAATATTCGCTTTGAATTAGCCGAGTTTCTTCATCAAAAATTCTTTAAAGTTTAAAAATATCAAATAGATAATAAAACAAATTCAAAATTCAAGATTTGGGCTTCCATGTGCCCATGTTCGTATGGAGGACTACGTTATTCAAAATTTGATAAATCTAGGTATCAGTGTTTTTTCACAAAAAGATAAATATGCATACATTCATGCAAATTCTTTATTATTTACTTTCTTTAAATGTAACACGGGATGATAGTATTTGATGGCAACAATTTGAAAAGTATGTAGAGTCCAGTGAATGAACTTCTGTCTGTATACTGAAGTAGCAGGAAACTACACAGGAGAAGGGTTCACGTACCCTTTTATTAACTCTTTAAAATTTACGATGCGTCAACTCGACGCTAACAAAGTTCGCCTCTACTTGGGCGGTAACTGAAAGTCAGATAATTGAAACTAAAGGCTGAAATATTAACAAGTGATAAAACTAGCCTATAGGGCTCAGCGAGATCCCGAACTTCAGCCTCCTTCTAAGCTAGTGGCAGCAAAGCAATGCAATTAAGCCACTTGAACCAGCAATGAGCAAACATACCTATGGCAGAGATGGCAGCTAGAGCCTAACTCTCTCTTTCTCCTACTGAAATTCGGCTTTTAACTACTTCAAAATAGAAAATTTGCATTCGTTCACGCGCGCTACAACATTCAACTGTTCTGGCACTGGCAATTAGGGGAATGAAGGCTTATAGGAAAGTTACAAATAAAACTTTAAATTATTAGTTAAAATAAATATAAATCCTTACAAGTAATACACCCGTTTATAGTGATTCGTTTATAGTTTATATGAGTGATGTATAATATATATATATATCTATCTATATAATATATAGATAGATATATATACATATAATACTTTAGATTGAAATTTAAAATATACAGCAAAAATTAAATTCCTTAAGAAAATTACCGAATAACACTAAGATATGTGGGGAAGTAATGTTGCAATATGTGAATATGTAATCAATAGGGAATCTTATTCCCGTAGCTAAGCAACTCTAATTATCCAAATATTCTCAGCAGTAAAACATTCTAATGCTTTCATCAACCCCGAGCATAAAAACTCAAGTGTGAGTGTAGATCCCGATTTGAAAATTTCCGGTTTAGTTAATCATTAATTTAGTAATTCATCCACGTTAATCTTGCCCCTTACATGTTATTTAAACAAACCACTAAGACGTAAATCTAAATTAAAATCACAAATTAACTCATCTATTTAGGTATTAGTAATAATCTGGATTACGGAACAGTATATTCTGAAAATTTGGAAGAAATATTGATCTAAGGTATTTGCAGCCCAAGTGCACATAATTAGATAAAATAAATCTCTTGGTTCTCCTTTATATTTTTATCCTCGTAATTTACTAGCATTGCTGCGCTTTTAATTAAAGTACAAATTATACGTAGAAGGGAAAAGAGATTTATGCAAAAAGAATTTTAAAAATGAGGTCCATACACTGTTTAAAACGTAATCTCTTTAAGCTTATTTTACAGAAGAAGCTGAAGAAAATTCTTTTAGTATGCAAAGAATGAAAAAGTTATAAAGAATTAAACAGAACGCTAAAAAATTCAAAATGTGATTTTGTTTACTAGCAAGCTTTGGTAACTTTGATTTTTTTTCCTTGCCACTGTTTTTCATTGAATTTACTATGCTGTAAAACATGACAGCTAAAAGTACAAAAAGGATTGCATAGTCATTTCTTAAGGCGCAGCTTTACTACAACTTGTGTTTGCTTTTACCATTAATTATAAAACGTGTTTCATTCTGTCACGGACCAAGAATCCCATAATGCATAAAATATGGTGCTTCGCTTATAAGTCATCTTGATTCTTGTGAAACGTAGGATAATGATATTTATCATAATGCAACGGGGAATTTTCCGCAGAAATATTTTTTATTTGTTACCAATGTGCGTATGTTTAACGATTCAAACGATTTTGGATATTATACGGAAAACGTACGAAGATCCGAGGGGTGTTCGGGTTTGAATATCAGTGGGAACTTTTATGAATGTTACTATATCCTCAGCAAGTGGATTTGCCATAAATTACAGTTTTTTTTTCAACATATACAGTGCTTATTCTTTAGGGGGACTATCTAGTTACGAAACATTTTGAACAGTTTTGAAAATTATGATTTTGGGTGGACAACTTAGTTAAGCAGCATGCACAATTTGCTGAAAATAATGACTTTTGGGAGGACACCTAGATAAGCAACCTGTAGAATGTATTTAAATGTATACATTCCTCTTACACGGCACTACCTAGTTAAACACTCTGTACTTATTATTATTATAACTATATACTATTTCGTACCTAGAATAGGAAATCGCTTTCGGAAATCAGCAAGACCTTCAACTGTATATTTAAAATTGAATTTTGCTCTCTGACACTCAGTGTAAAGAATTCGGTATTATGGAATTAGTCAGAAACTTGGTGTTCACTAGTTATAGGCAATCTTTCCCTTTTCACCACTTCATTTCACCAAGTAATCAGTCACTTGGTGTTGACTAGTTATAGGTAATCTTTCACTTTTTACCACTTCTTTTCACCAAGTAATCAGTCACTTGGTATTGCTTAGTTATAGGTAATCTTTTTTTACTTGTTGGAAGGCGTACTGTTCATTAAATGGTTTCTTTATTTAAATTACCAAGTGTATTACATAACTCAAAAACAAATATCTGCATTGTTTTAATGATAATACTGATAATGATATGGAAATATCTCCCACCTCTCAATCTGGCGAAAGTAACTGAGATTCTTAAATAAGGATTCCGCATATGATTAACAGATCTAAAGCAGGTGGAGGTTACTTACTCATTTTTGGCACCAAGCTAGTTCAGGTGACTAATTAAGACTTTACTGAAAATACTTGTATATATCGTCTTAATGAAAAGATTTTTTTAACTGACGCAGGAATATTGTTTTAAACAGAGTAAGTACTTTGTGATGGAAATGTTCAATTGCATCCAAAATCTCCGCGATGTAATTTGCTCATTCATGCATTAATATATGATTTTTGGCAGAGGAATACTTTCCAGCCATAATAGGTTTAAATAATTTTGCATATTTGTTAATGCTAAAAATGGTTATGTTATTTGATCTATAAAATTATTCAAGCAAAACCAAAATTAATAACATAGATGTTAACAGAAAATTGCTCAAGTATTATGTCTTTCTATTTATTTAGTCATTCTTAGAAATTAAATCATGGTGACGAGGAATTTGAAGGATTTTAGTAATAATGTAATTATTATTTCTAACTTTACTAAATTATTATAAACTTGTCTGAAGTAATAAAAAGAAATACTTGCTGCTCATAAGAATTTTATTTTAAACTGAGGGAAAAAATATCTGTAATAAATGTGCTAAAGTACACTAAAATCTAAATATGCTAATCTGTAATAAATATGCTAAAGCAATGTAAAAATCTGCTTTACGCAGACAGCGTTCTTTTATTCAGGAAAATACTGCTGAAGGAAAATCACACTGGCGTTTTAGCTTCTCTAAAGATATGCGAACTCTACTTTGGAATACTTTCATCATCTGCTTAAACAACATTTCGCATTTCTTCTTGAAAATGTTTGCATAAAAATACCTAATACTTCCCCCCTTTTCCTAAAAATAGAAGGGCTTCCTGAATTTAGAGATGCGTAAATTTTCTTTTCAGATCTCGAATTTTCTATTTTTAGCCTCGTATTTTTGAAAAAAGAAAACTTTTCATTCTTTTCCTTTCCCAAATAATTTTAACTACCCTTGAAACCCTTTCACAAGCTTCAGAATCGATTATTTCAGTACCTTCTTTTAAATCGTTTCATAAATTTTGTTAATTGAGAAATCAAATGGTTTAATATTTGTCAATAAATGAAAATGCGTGTAAAACAGTTTAAGTTACATGGTTTTAATAAAATTTACTAAAATGTGAAAAAGAAAATTCAGCTGTTTTTAGTCTCATAGGGTGAAGGATGTTAAGATAGCTGAAAAGATAATTCTTTCTTTAAAGAATATATATACTGTTCCTTTACTCTGAAGCTTAATTAATAAATAATAGTTTTCCTAGAGGAAGTCAGTAGAAGAAAGAAAGAGCACATATATTTCCAGCCAAAATATATGTTCGCTATTACTTATATGCATAAAATTAAATCGAGAAACAAATTATCAGCAGTTATAGTAACTTAAGTAACAAGCAAATTGTAACAAACATAGAAGAATATTAGGAAGTAGTGCAGAATCTCGATTATCAACGTTATTGTGGTTCAGTGCGACTAGCTAAAAACTCAGATAAAATTGAAAGCCGAATCCATTCGGATTTAAGAATATGTCGCTATTATTGCCGAAAACATCCCAGGGAAAATTCTGCAAAGGAAAACTGCAAGAGGAGAAAAAATTACAGTACAAAATAGCATGGTATAAGCATCATCATGGTAGATGGAAAGCAAGAATACATCACAAACTGAAGGTACAAAAGGAAGCAAGAATACTTCACTGCTGGAAGCTGCATAAAGAAACAAGAATATGCCACAATAGGAAAATATCGTGATATTAAAAAAATGAAGCAGTATCGATTTTAGAGCATTGTAGTTTTTACAAAATGAGTTAATAAAATAATGATGCACAACAGTTATGCACGTAAATATAAAATTTTGTTAACTGTTATACATAGCTATAATTTTTATTCATTTTCCAGTTTTCAAAGCTTAATTTTTTCACTTAAAAACTATTAGTTAATTCCAAAAAGGTGATATGATATGGGTAAAAATATTCCTCATTTATTCTCGAGCTAATAAATCACTGCATATTGCAAAAGCGAACACGCGTTTGAAACTTTTAAAATTTCAAGATACTTATCCGTGACTTTTTTTTTCATACAATGTTTTGTAAAGCACTGTATTTTTGTTACGGTATTTTGTACGATGGTGTTTTAAAGCTGCGAAGTTTTGCATCAACGCTTAATTTTTATTACAAGATGATTTATACCACAAAATTTGATAGCTGCATTTTTTCTTCTTCCTTTCTTTTCTGCTATGATATTTTCTCATGTTTTCCCTGGCAACCATTTTTTTATCAATATCTTTTCAAGCCTTCTTTCATATCACAGAGATTTTAACACAAGGTAAAATCAAATAAACGTACCTCACTTAACTTTGCATTGCAGCATTTGATTGTCTTACTTAACTAATTTTAAAGCCAAGTATGTGTATTTTCATAGTTACATTTTAAAATTAATCGTTTGCCTAACGTAGAAAATGAGATGATAAAAGTATTATTTAAACCATTTTTAAACTCGTAGTTTCGAACTTTCCTGAGAATGATATTATAATTATTGCTTAGTTATAATATTGTTCCTTATTTCTTTGCCGCAGCATTTCTCTGTTTCCTTAGCATTAAAATGTTTTCAGGGATATAGTTTCCCTCATATTCAGTACGTGAAACAGCTGTTTGAAGGATATTCAGACACAGAAGCAGTTGCTTTCAAGAGAAGTCTGAGAAATCTAGTCTGGAATTTTCCTGCTTTTGATGGGTTTTTTTTTAATGGCGGGGCGCTTTATTTAATAGCCGTTAGCCACTGTTGTCTCATATGAAGAGACGGACAGTTACAACCATTCTTTCTCCGGGATTAGAGCTCGGGCCCATCCTACGGCAGTCTGGTTCACTAACCACTATACCGGCTGATCCCCCAAAATGTTTTAATGAATTATAATAACACAAATTTTGTCATTTGAGTGGGAAAAGTATTATATATGAAAACCATAAAAAAAAGTTTGCTGTTTGTTTAATTAGAGTTTCAAAATCTGCAAATGAAAAGCATTTGTTCTTAGAAATTTCGCATGTGTTTAATATTTATCTCCAAAACTTCGCTTCTCTTTCTATTTAACGTTAATAAAATGAAGCAAAATTAGATGCAAAGTTTAGATAGTAACACTATATAAAAAAGTCAATTACTAATACCGTGATTACTAATACCATGATTACTAATACCGTGAATTACTAATACCGTGAATATACTAATACCGTGAAAACCTTCTATGATTACTAATACCGTGAATATTCAAAACTGGACTTAATGTTAATTGCGAATGGGCTTTACTATTCTAATGGAAAATAACCGATTTCTAATTTATTAGAACGCAAATCTGAGTACTTAAGGAAAAATTTTAAAACTTATGATAAAACAATAAAGCTGACACTGTCATAAATTCATATACATTCAAGACTTCTTTGTATTAAATAAAAATGTAACTAATGCTTTTGTTGAAAGGAAAAGCGACATATCTGTATGATTTCCTCCTGCAAATCTTTTCAGCGAGGATAAAAAATATATGCGTCTTTTACTTTAACAACTAGTTTGTACATCGTACATACTACGAGTAAATACTTACGACTCCTTCAAGTGTTCGAGTAGTACCTCGGTATACGTCCACTTAGAAATATGTCCAACTTAGTATACATCCTACGTGGACGCGAAAGTTTTTGTTTGATATACGAGTCCTTCTTGCGCTACCAAATCATTATGCGAAAATGCATTTACAACTTTTAAAACCTGAAAAACGCATGTGTGCGATGTTATTGTCATACGATGGTTTGTACGTACTTTATTTTTTACCACGATATTTTCGACAACGATGCTTTTAAACTGCGAAGTTTTTGAACCGCTTTGTTTTCGACCACAATGTTTTAGAACTGCGACGATTTCTCTTTGTTTTCTTTTCTCCCACACACGCAAACAACGCAAAAAGTCCGTTTTTGCCTTGCGTTGTTTTCTCCGCGACGTTTTCGTCTGCGATGTTTTTACCTCGATGTTTTCAGCTGTAACCGAATTAGAATGGTTCTTGTATAAGTATTTAGAAACACGATGCAAATTAGTTTTCTTGATAGAAATAGTAAATTGCATCAGGGAAAAAAGAAAATTAAATGGACCTTTAAGGGGTGTTGGAACCCCAAAATCTTCAAAAAATTGTGATTTCGGATTTTTGCATTTTCAAATTCTCTACACTTTTATCTTTCTAAAAATACTATTCTTTAATCTCTATGAAAATTAGAACTGCACAAAAAATCTAGTTTTAATTTGTCATCTACTGCTTTGATCAATGAGGATTTTTACATAAAAACGCGCTTTTCTCAACGTGATTTTTTTTATACTCGATGTACCTTTTTCTCAGGAACTACTGCTCACAGGTATCTAAACTTTTTATGGCTTATTTATTAGGTTCCCTAATATTTACTGAAATGCGCTTTTTGTAATAAACTTAGAAAAAAAATTCTTTTTAAATATTTTTGTGTGAGAAAAGTGCTAAATTTTACTATGCCTAACAAAATATTCTCTAATTTACTCTAAAATTCAAAATGCTTCAAAAGCTCATTTCAGTATAATCAGGTAGGTATACTTTAATTACACAAAAAAATTCAAGCTTGTATCTACAGCAGATTTTGAGAAAAGGTACATCGAAAATGGCCAATTTAACATTGTCAGTATAGGGGTTTCTGATACCCCTTAATATGAATAAACAAACAATTGTACGAACATAAAACTATGCCATCCATTTACTCTTATTGGGAGTAAGCTGAATTCCTTTTTATTGCTTATTGCTTAGTGATAATTTGTGAAGCTTTTAGTATTATTTAAAATTTCCAGAATAGTTTTATTTTCAGTACTTAATCCTGAGAAGATCCTTAGCTTACTGGACTTACTATTGTTAGTGTATAATTTCTGAAAAACTTGCATAAAATTATTATGCATTAATTTACATGTACGTATATGCATGGCAATTCACAATTATAGCGAAGGTGGCTGCAATTTAGCACTGATTTTTTTAAGTGAATGTTATTTCAAATGCATTCCCTTTTTAAATTCGTAAAGCTTTTAATATGATTACTATTACCGTGAATAAATTTGTTAAATTTTGTTAACAAATAGCTTCCCTGTCTTTTTAAACGGTTAACTTTCATGTTTAATATAGATATATCTAATCTTATTTTCATTTTAACTAGTTCTGTTATCCCAGGTTTCGAAGAAATTTAATCAACGAGATATGCTTTTGCAAGCATAATTGAATTGTAGCGTTCATTTTGAAACTCCTGCATAATGACACTTAATTAAAACATAAAATCTGAGCCCCTATTGTTCTTCTAGTAACAACACAATTGAATAAGAGCAAAACCTTGTAATTAAAAAATTTCATTACCCCACTCCAATTTATTTGATTTCAGCCACATAAAAAGATATTTTTTCCCAGTCTGTTCAATACTTTCAGCATATTATCGTCATTTAAAACATTCAGTTAACGAAATTAATTGCGAAAGGAACGCTTAATAACTTCGCCCTCTTTTTTCCCAGAATGAAAGACCGTTCCACGAAGAGCGAGCATTATGAAATGTTCAAATATTAGAAATAGATATTTTTCTCTCTCAAATAATCCCTTTATATTACTGTGCAAAAAATATGCAGGATATTGAACTCTGTGATACATGTTTTTGTTTTCAAGATAAATGATATTTTCTTTTCATTTCAGATTTTGAGATGGCAGACAAAGAAGAGGATTATCGAATTGAGAAATCGGTATCAGGGATTGGAGAAGACGGTGACTGCCCTCATTGCTTCAACATAGCCTTCAACAACACAAACAACACGTTTGTTGCCGATTACATCTTCAACCGACTGGATACTCGGATCTGTCTTATACTGGCGTACACCTTCGTTTTCTGCTGCTGTTTCTTCGGTAAGCTGTAATTTTAAATTATTTTTAGAAAACTATAGGCTAAGTACACCGCCCCTATCGGTATGAGTGTTTGTGGAAACAGATGTTTTATCTTTGGAGCCGACGGGTCCAAATTCCGTAGAAGGCACGAATTTTCGTAAATGAACAGATGAAATTAAACTAGAGTGCAGTAATCTCTCGTATCCGCTGGTAATAGGTTACAATAACTGAAGCAGTAACTCCGCCTCTCTAAATTACATTCGCTTGCTATTTAAACTTAGACTAATTCCCATTCTAGTGGAGGCTGACAGAAGAAATAGCAATAGCAGGTAAGAATTAACATAAAGATAACGTGTTAGCTGAAAAAACGCTTATAGGATTTTGGGACTCACTTGATGCTTGCAATAGAACTGAAAGATCTTGTTCTGCTCCATTTCAAACAGTTACGGACAGTTATAGTTATCGTGAATTTTGTAATCTATAAATCACTTATATATTTCCTTTGCTGCATAGAATCAGCGGTTACGGAGGCATACATATACGCGTTATTGTGTGATTAATAAAAAGCTCTTCGCTTACTTTAAGGTGAACGTTCTTAATCCCAGTATTAGTCGTACTCATAACTTTATGGCAAACCTTATGGTATGAACCTTATGGCAAATGATTTCGAAATTATTTTTAACAAAATATATTTTTCACTCTGTTGCATTAAACTTGTAATTAGTTGCGTATGTTAATCTTTCACACCAACAATATTTCATTTCCTGTTTCAGAGGGTGGGGTAAGGGATCGAATTCATTATTTACACTTAGCAATCCATGCATTATAATCTGTTATATTTACTTAATCCGAACATCCCGAAAACCCGCCAGCATATGCACTGGCTCAAACACTGGCAGGTCATTTGTATCGTCTCACCATTTCACAAAGCTATGATAATCACTTGTGTCACACAACAGCTATTCATCAGCGCTATGATAATCACTTGGGGGATATGAACTTGAAAAGTAGACATATTATTTTTTAGGATCTGTTCATATACAGCTCTTACCCTTGGTCTATGTTGTCAAGTATGGATAATTCTAAGACAGTAATCTCAAATTTCAAGAAAGATAATACAAATTTCATTTCCTCCTTAAAGATTTTGAAGAGAATAAATACATTCATCATTTTACCGTAATCAGAAACTATAAAATAATTAAAATAGTTTTGCTTCACTTGCAATAAAATTATGTAAAAATTAATAAGAATTTATATGATCTTGTGTTGATGTGTTGTTGCATTATGAGTAATGTTGTTTTGAATGCTATTTGAAATTCATCACAAATACGATAAATTTAATGCAACATCAACTCCTAATCGCTTACTAAATTTTACAAAGTTTTTAACTCAGGTAAGTTAGTCAGTATCTTTTTATCTGTATTCTTTTATTTGCTATTTCATCATTCGTATTTCTGCTAGGAATTCATAGAATGTACCCAAAATTTGAGGATTCGTGTAAACTTTAAGGAAAAGTGTTATCAGAATAGTTTGGATAGTAAGTATCAAATTACTCTGAATGGCAAAATTAAAAGTAATCTGTAGAAATAAATTCAATCATAAATTTTGTCATTGTGAAGATGTTTAAACTTTCAAATGGAATCCTACTAAAACTGATTTTTTAACAAATTTTAATTCATTGACTATAAATCATTTGAGTTAATTAGTTTCATTTTAAATCGTTTTGATGTTTAATTATAGAAAACACGTCATAACCCGAAAATGTAGGTAGTTAGAAGAACAAGTAGAAACGTTTATTTTTGTTGTAGTATTGATTAATGAGGTGAACATAATTTCGATCCTATAGGAGGTTTTCCAGAGATACTCGAAGGCATTTGTAAAAAGCTAGTTTCCCGAAGACAATTAAATCCTTTAAAAGATGTACAGCAAAAATTTCCTCCAATGCAGACTTTTCCGATACTTGTTAACTATGCCACATCTTACCTTGAATATTTTATAGAAAGAAAAATTTAAAATAAATTTAAAATAACACAAAAAGTTTTAAAATTTCTAAAACTGTATTCTAACAAAACGAAAGAATATGAAGTGTTATGTTGAATGTTGTTGAAATATGAGTTAAATTTAAAATTCCCTACAATTAAAAATGTAAATTTAAAACACCATTTTAAAGTTTCAAATTCAGGAAAATAAATATGAAATAACGTATTTACCTGTGAAAGAGTACTTATTACATGTGTGATTTTAGAAAAATGAAGTCTCAAACAAAGTATAGAAAACTACTACTATATTAGTATTCGATTTAATATAGCATTGAATGTTTAAAAATTAACAAAAGGATTTATGTTAATGCAATTATCATTCAATTTAATATTGTTAAAATGTATAAAACTCATAAAAGAGTTTGATTTGACAGAAATTAAAAGTTTGCAGAAAGTACCAGGAGGAGAAGTAAAGGTGTATATTAAGAGTTGAGGAAATTAAATTATGAAAAATAATTTTAAAAAATAACCTGTAAAACGGCACAAACGTTAAAACATAATTACATAAACTGAAAAGTTAAAAACAGTAATAATTTTAATACTAACAACAAAGTAGTAAGAAACGTAGGCCAGTAAATAAGTTCAGAAAAATAAGCATATGCACTTGATTTTGAAAGCAAAAAATTCAATAAGGAAATGTAAAAGCTGTTGTGTGGCATAAAGTTGCTAAAATGTTAAAAGAAAATAAGTCTTTCGAGACCATAGATTAAACTAAAGCAGACTACTTCAAAATATTGTCAGAAACGTTTGCTGTGAACATTACATTTTCTTGCTTTCTTAACATGGTCATTAAATTTTTGCATTAATTAAATAATACTCAAGGTCCTATTTCTTAGTCAAATGCTATAATTCACTCTCATAGCTTTAAGAAGTAATCAGTTGCTGATTAGATAAGGTAACTAAACATTGGTAGTTCCATTTGATTTTCAATTCAGGTAAACTGTGTAGCTGAACGGGTGGTATTGTGATGACATGTGTCATTTGAATGCGACATAGTTTTCCTTAAAACGCTCTAACAAGGAAGCTTTCCTATTTAGGTAAGTAGTTCATGTGTGCTTTGGCCGTGTTTGACTGAGTAAACAATTCTTGGTACAAAACCTATAATAACATCGATCCCTCAAGCCTCAGTTTTTATGTTGTTATTGTTAACATTTAGAGATAGAGTAGTATCCGGTACAAGTATAATAGAATTTCATATCATTAAACCGAATATCATATTCTATGAATCAGAAGGAATTACAAGTATTAAAATTAGGCAGCTAAAATGTTTTGAAGGAATTTATCCACAGTTAGCACTTTGAAACTCCGAGCTGAACCCTCAGGCAAGATTCAGTATCTCTGCATGTCTCGCAGCTCCTACCGGCAGCTCTCAAATATTGTGCCCCAGATTGGATAAAGGTCGTATTAAATGTCAGCTGCAGACCTAGATATTGACCAGGTGATTAAACGTACCTTAACCATCGAAGCGTGCTTAGCTTAGCGAAATTCTTTCAAGTATCAAAATGCCTAAAGGTAATATTTCTGTTAAGAATAGAGCAATTTATAAGATATAAGTAGTAACATATACGCAATACTCTTCAGTACATATTATTACTATAAATATACACAGAGAAGAATAGATAGATAGATACAGATACAGGTACCATATATTTATATAAATGCAAGAAAGTTAATAAAATAAAAAAATTATGCAAACCGGCAATGAAAATTCTGAAAGTTGCAAAACCTAATACGATGCAGTCGTAAAGTAATCATTAAAATGTTTAAGTAAAAAAAAATACAAAAGGATAATCTAAACAAAAATGAGAGAAGGAAGAAGGGAACTAGAAATATAGATATATGGGGGGTCAGTGTGTTTTTGTACGTAAATTTAATGTGTACGTGTGTATACATATGCAAAAGAAGCAGCATATGAGAATTTATATGCATACCACTGAATTCCCGCATTATATGTTTCATACGTATATAAAATACTTTTACGTATATGAAATACGCTAACCGAGACCTTGAACTAAGCATAATACGCTACGCATAAATAATACTGAGTTATGATGTTAGTAAGAATTGCATTCCAAGCTCTACATGCGTGATAAATACAATTATTATTTAAGTGCTTAATTACCTCTATGAAATACACTAAAAATGGCATTTAACTAAGTAAAATACACAGCTCATAGATACAATGTTAAATTACAATGTACATTAAAAAGGAAAGCTGAATGCGCAATTACGGAACGCACATACTGCCTAATCCATACAATTATGAAGCACAAAGATACCTACATAAGTTTAAAAAAATGCACTAAATATACTACACATTACATTGATTATGATGCATACAAAAATCTATATGCATACTATGCGGTGCTCATGCCCCATAATACAAACGATTACATAGCACACAACTCGGTAATCGTATTCCGAGGCCGTATACAAATTGAAGAATGAAATTTTTGAATTTGTGCGCAACTAAAAATAAAATAGCATTCAGAAAAAGATTTCTGGTGTTAAGAGGTAAGCCTCTGAGCCCTCTGAAAGTTATGACCGGCTGTTAATACAATCCTTACAACTTGTTATATTTATAAATACCATAAATCAGATAAATTAATGACATATGAAAGATTATAACACAGTAAATTTCCCAATCTGCCCATTTGTAAATCCGAGTTCCATTTTCATTTTGTCAATGCACGAAGAAAGATATATGGAAAAGAAATTTAAAAGTACTTTCCTATCCGAAGGATATTTAGCTTAACGTAACGTTAAACCTCAGAATTCCACATTAGTTGTATCTCCACATGCTGAAAATATTTTTAGGATTGATGTGATGGGTACTATGCGAGGAGTTAAATAGATCCGAGCATCTTAGATCAACTCTATCAAATGGGCTTAGGTTTGCAACCAGCTAACTGATCTATTAATATACGAAGAAATTGTTTATATGAGAAAGGCTCTTCTTGCATGTATAATTAATTGCATTAC